TAAGCTATTTATCATGTGAATTTCAGCTCATACTATATTTTTTTAATCTTTTTGCTCCAAGAAAGGCAATAAAGCCAGTAAGATACAAGAGGTTACTGAGTGTTAGAGAATATGAGAAAAAAAAACACTATTATGGAGAGAGAATAGAAGAACATGAATTAAGAAGACAACAAAAGATAACGATTGACATTGCATTTAAATTTTTTTTAAATCAAAGTTGACTGGGAAGCAAGAATCCAGGAGAGAGTTCCACAAGTGAGAAGTATGAGAGAAAAAACTTTTAGCATAGAACTTACAGTTGCATCTAGCCATTTCAACTGTGAAATGATGAGACCTTGCTGCCAATCTAGTCAGTTAAGTGCCATATGCGATACACGTTTGGGCAATCATGGCTCTTTCGATTCATGACTGTTCATCAGAACAATTAACATGAAAATATTTATAGAAAAGGCACAGGGAAGCTACATTACAGTGGTGGGAAAGTGAATGAAGCCAGGATGCCAGGTCAGGATCAATAACATTGCAGATTCTTCCTTGGATTTTATCAAGAATCTCTAAATATATAGCAGGAGTACCAGACGATATGTGGCAGCAATATTCAATTCATAAATGGATGGTAGACTTATAAATGTGTAAGATAGAATCTGGTGAGAAAAATTGTCTAGCACAACACAGTGAACCAAACTCTCCTAGCAGCTAAACTAGCAATTGATTCAATATAATCTTTCCACTTCATGTTAGTTGGTTAAATGTTTATAAATTCATGCAAGGCTTAATTTTGTCTGTGTCCCCCTCTTACATCAGTAGAACAAGAACCTAATTTCTAGCCCAGTCTTCAGGTTCATCCAATGTAGCTTTACATTCATTACTCAAATTTACCTCTTAGTAATCCCTTTTCATGTACTTCTTCACCCAGATTACATTTTTCTTCTTGTGATATTTGCTTAATGAATTGTCATTTGATTGCTTTCATGCTTTTAGCCAATGTTCTGCATCTTTCCAGCCTGTTTCAATCCACAACACTATTTCTTAAAATATTTTCTTACTAGTCAATCCACTTTTCTTGCTTATTACTCTTATATTTTCTCATCTCTTTTTGTGATATTTTTAAAGTTTTCAATCTTTTTTGATCTTATTGTGCCAATGTTTTCAATTTTTCTTTGGAGTTTTCTATGATATATTTTGAACTTTTTCAGAATTTCCAATGTTACATTGCTATCACTTTATAACTGTTTCTGTTTTGTAATTACATCTTTCTTATGATCCACAGTAATATTTATATATCAGAAATTAAAAAATATCAATAGCTACACTATTATATATATATATTATTTATTATTTTATAATAACCTCCAAATTGTATAATACAATATATATTGTATAATATAATACATAATACATCAAATGGTATGAGTGTTATAAGATGGCCAAAGACTTTCAAAATTTTATCAAAATATCTACTGCCTCTGAGAATGTTTTATCTCTGCATCTGAATCCAGGTCAAAATTGACATAATTTTTAAAGGTGTTGTAATTTTATTTTCCATTCTGTGAGTGTATGTGGATGCTTGCACTAATTCTAAAACTTCTAATTTTTAGCTGAGTTATTGCCCTTTGTAATGTTTCAATTTTTGATGAGCAAATTTTTAAAGTTGTTTTGAGAATGCTGGTACAAGGTAAAACGTTTATAGTAAAATAAAAATTTTAAACTAGTTTTCACAAATTCTATGTTACATACTTTATTTCATATTAATCATTTTATTATATATAGTTCCAGCTGAATTCTATTCCGTAGAAGGTTGAAAGTGTGAAAATTTTGACCTTGTGAGAATATCCAACATTTTGCAAATTTTTTTTTGATAGATTTTTCTGTTTTTTTAGTAAATTTATATAGATTATGATATTAAAAGAAGTTGCAGAAAAGTTTATATAATAATAAAATAATCTGTTATTTTCTTTTTTATTTTTCACTTTTTATATAAAAAAAATAATAAAAAACAATTTTTCTCATGAGAATGTGATCACAAATTAAAATATGAAGTGATGGGGATGCCAAAAACTTCTTGGCTTGATCCACTCCCCAAAATCTGACCAAAGGACCAAACATCAGAATTTTGGAGAAAGGCTTCTTGGTTGGGCTAAGAACTTCATTAGCACTCACTTATAATAGAAGAAATTTTATTTCTATAGGTATAGCTGTTTATATAAAGAAACTTTTCTTCTCTTATTCAGGAGAATGAAACTTTTATTAATATTTTGATGCTGAAATTATGAAAAACTTACCCTTTAATTATTTAATATAATTTACATTTTTAATATTTCCCCTGCCCCCTTTTTAAAACATTTGAGTCTATGGAGTCTAGCAGAAATTTGAAATTTTTTTTTTTTTTTCCATGGAAATAAGAGGTGATGTTAGGCTACCTCTTGATCACTTGCAGAAATATATGAAAAAGTGTATTGATCTCACCTTTTCCCTCTTTCTTCTATTTTCTTACTTTAGTCATGAAGGTTTACCTTATTTTTTTATCAAGTTGTCAGTGGAGATGGACATCATGTCCATGACTCCAGATACATCTTCCAC